GAGGGATTCTGGGAGTTGAAGTCCAAACACAGTGACTGGGCTTCTGGGAGTTGAAGTCCACTGATGGTGGATGAGGGCTTCTGGGAGTTGAAGTCCAAACACGGTGGATGAGGGCTTCTGGGAGTTGAAGTCCAAACACGGTGGATGAGGGATTCTGGGAGTTGAAGTCCAAACACAGTGACTGGGCTTCTGGGAGTTGAAGTCCACTGATGGTGGATGAGGGCTTCTGGGAGTTGAAGTCCAAACACGGTGGATGAGGGCTTCTGGGAGTTGAAGTCCAAACACGGTGGATGAGGGATTCTGGGAGTTGAAGTCCACAGACGGTGCATGAGGGATTCTGGGAGTTGAAGTCCAAACACAGTGACTGGGCTTCTGGGAGTTGAAGTCCACTGACGGTGGATGAGGGATTCTGGGAGTTGAAGTCCACTGACGGTGGATGAGGGATTCTGGGAATTGTTCCATACACAGTGGCTGGGAGGCATTCTGGGAGTTGAAGTCCCAATTCAGGGGGACTCTGGAATGTGCTGAGGAGGCATTTCCCACCCTTCTGAGGGGGGGTCCAGCCCAGAGCCACCCTTGACCGCCCCCCCCCTTCTTTCCCCTGCAGGACGTCTACGATAAAGTCAGCTACCTGAGCTCCCTGGGGAAAACCCAGATTGCCGTGGTCCAGCGCGATGCAGATATCGGGGTGGCCGAGGCCGAGCGGGATGCCGGCATCCGGGTACGTGGAGTGAGCGAAGCCCCCTGGGCTGGCCCTTCCTCTTCTTCCCTGGAGGGCCCCGGGGGACCCCGCTGAGCGGCCGTGCGCTTCTTGTCGCTGCAGGAGGCCGAGTGCAAGAAGGAGATGCTGGACGTGAAGTTCATGGCGGACACCAAGGTGGCCGACTCCAAGCGGGCCTTTGAAATGCAGAAGGCCGCCTTCACTCAGGAGATCAACATTAAGGTCAGAAGCTGCAGAAGGGGAAAGCGGGGGACGCTCCTGGCAGGAAGCCCTGGGGGCCCTCCGTAGATACCGGCAGACGAGGACAGCTGGAGCTCAGGGTTGGCCTCGGGGGGGGGGGGGTCCTGGGGGTTTTCTCACAGGCGTTTCATGACCCAGCTAGGCGACATCATCAGTGCCGGAAGGAAGTGGGGTTTGCGGGGAGGAGGGAGGGGAGGACAGTGGTGCCCTTGGTGCTGCTGTTGATTTGAGACGTTTCGTGGCCCAGCTAGGTAATATCGTCAGTGCTAGAAAGGAGTAGAATTTGGGTGCTTTTCTCTCGGACGTTTCATGACCCAACTAGGTGACATCATCAGTGCCCGCAGGGCGCCGGGTTTGCTGCCTGTTGATGTGTCACCCCTTGCCCTGCCAGGGTTGGTGGGAAGAAGGTCCCTTGGCTTCTTTGTCCGTCAATTTCCTTACGGGGGGGGGGGGGGGGTCCTGGGGGTTTTCTCACAGGCGTTTCATGACCCAGCTAGGCGACATCATCAGTGCCGGA